AGCAGAGGGCTATGCATCCAGAATGTTTTTCAAGGCACCAGCTCGGGACTTGAACTGTGAGATCTCAAGCAGAGCAGCTGTCCAGACTCTTCTGTCTCTTCTGGTCTCATTTCCTCTCCTTATATATCCACTAGAACTTGATCATGAAGGTCCACCTTAATGACAGCACACCCAAAGGCCCCACACTGGGACACCCTGAAGGGATTAAGTTTTCAACTAACAGAATGCTTGGAGACATCCCACTACAGCCCCTGAAGACCAAACTCCAAAACATGAATCTTTGTGGGGATAAGCCATTATCCAAACCATCACACTACTATTTGTGGGCTTTTTGGTTTTGTTTTTAAATTTGCCAGAGGGCTCTCATTCTTATTGGAGGGAGACAGAAAAGGCACCCACTGCTTTCTGTCTGACATTTTAGTGAGGCTGCAGTGGCCTTTGCTGCTCTCCTGGCTTGACGATGCTGCCCCAGGACAACAACAAGAAGAAAGATGCCAGGAAGTCAGCCACGAAGGAAAAAGACCCAGTGAACAAATCTAGGGGCAAGACCAAAAAGAAGTGGTCCAAATGCACAGTTAGGGATAAGCTCAATAACCTGGTTTTGTTTGACAAAGCTACATATGACAAACTCTGTAAGGAAGGTCCCAACTGCAAGCTCATAACCCCAGCTGTGGTCTCTGAGAGGCTGAAGGTTGGTGGTTCCCTGGCCAGGATGGCACTTCAGGAGCTTCTTAGTAAAGGACTTATTAAACTACTTTCAAAGCACAGAGTGCAAGTCATTTACACCAGAAATAACAAGGATGGAGATGCCCCAGCTGTTGGTGAAGATGCATGAGCAGTCACGACCAACTGTACATTTGAAAAAACAAAAACTTTAACCGAAAAAGAAAAGAAAAGGTACCCACCATAGGAGATAGCTATGCCACAATTCCTTCTCCTCCATTTTTCCCGCCTTTTGGGATCTTGGGGCATGTATGCACATGTACCCGGCATGTTTTACAAGCTGCTGAGTCTAGGACTCGAACTACACAGTTGGCCTGATGGTATCCAGCAGCCTTAACCACCAGACCATTGGCTGGCCCCCATTTGTGTTTTTGTTTGTTTGTTTTAGTTTTGTTATAAGGTATGTGTGCTTGTCAGAGAGAGACAGAAAGAGACAGAGAGAGAGAGAGCGAGAAATCACCTCCTAGGAGGAATGGCCATGCTTCAGTTCCTTCTCTTCATTCTCCTCTTGGATTTTGAGCATTCATACACATGCGACTGGCATGTTTTTCAAGCTGCCATGTCTGGGGCTTGAACTATGCAGTCAGCCATACGGAATCCAGGCTCTTTAACTTCCATGTCACCAGCTGGCTCCCATTTGTGTCTTTATTAAAGAGGATTTGCCTTAGGGTGCTTGTTGGAGAGAGAGAATAACAGACACAGTGAGAAATCATCCCCCAGGGGGATGGCCACACTGCAATCCCCTCTCCTCCATTCTCTTCCTGGGATCTTGGGCACCTACACACGTGTACCTAGTGTGATTTCCAAGCCACTGGGTCTGGGACTCAAATTGTGGTCAGCCACGTGGAAGTCCCCCTATGCTATCTGCCGGCCCTCCATTTGTGTTTTATATGTTTGTACATATGCATAAATATCTCCAAAAGTATCCACAGTACACTGTGCGTGATGATGTCTCTAGAGTAGAGGGGACTGGTGTGTGTCAACAAGGATGGTATGTTCATACTCATTGTTGGAACACAGGAAGACTGTGCTGCCCAACCTTCTAGCATGCGTGGCCTCACCAATGGGACTGTGGACAGAAGATGGTGTCGCCACAGGTCTTAGGCACTCAAGAGTCAGTGTGAATCCTTCCCTGTGCTCCCACACCTCCCGCCCCATTCTGAACGAGTGGGATGAAGGACCTTCGGGATGATGGCGATGTTGGGTGGACCCAGCTTGGATTGGAGTCACTGCTGGGGAGATGTTATGTGTTCATGTGTAACCCACATTGTGATGTGAGTGAGAAATAAATCTTTGTTGTATTAAGTCACTGAAATTTGGAATACTCCATGTGGGAGATTAAAGGTGACCAGAAATGTTTTTGACACTCCTGTTATTAAAAATGGGTATCAAAAAAAAAAAAAAAAAGGCAAAAAAAGAGGGACCAGCAGCTGGCGTAATGACTATGTCGCTGGACTCACATGTAGTCGACCATGGTTCAAGTCCCAGACCTGGTGGCTTAAACTTACACCAGGTGCATGTGCGTGCGTGCCCAAGATCCTGAGAGGAGAATGGAAGAAAAGGGATCGTGGTGTGGCCATCCCCTCTGGAGGGGTGATTTCTCATTCTCTGTCTCTTCCTGTCTTTCTGACAAGCTCATGTGCCCTATAGCAAAAATCTCTACACACAAACAAAACAAAACAAACAAACAAAAACAAAAAAAGAAAAAAGAAAAAAAAAGGAAAAGAAAAGTAAGCAAGCATCTAAATCCCTTCCCCTTAAGTCTTGGCTGGACTGTGACCTGTGACTGCTTTGGCCAACAGGATACAGAGAGGTGATGCAGAGCTAGTTTTCGCATTACATCTGCCCCCACCCAGCCCCCCATAGAAATCAGGTCTTTCTTACATAATTAATTTGAGATAAATTAAGTCATGCATTAAATGTAAAAAAATGTATTTGTCTTCATATATTATGAATGTTATCTAAAAGTTGAAGTGAATGTCATAATACAATCTTTTATATTCAAAAGTAGAAGGTGAATTTTTTAGTCAGCATTAATCACTTCTTTATCACATACTATTCAGAAATGACAGAATTGGGTCAGCAGGTGGCTTGGTGGTTTGGGCACTGGACTCCCATACTTCTGACTGTGATTTAAGTCCTGGACCTGGCAGCTTGTTTTCTCACTCCCTCCACCCCCCCCATCTCTGGTGAGCACACATACCCTATAGCAAATTAAAATAAGAAGAAATAAAATAAAATATTTTTAAAATGACAGAAGTATGTAAAATTTCCTAGGAGTATTTTTTGAGTCAAAAAAGGATTAAGGGGCCAGCAGATGGTTGGAGGTTAAGGCACTGGCTGACTGCGTAGTTGGACTCCCTCACCTGGTGGCTCGAAAATCACGCCAGGTATGTGCATGCCTAAAATCCTGAGAGAAGGGATTGCAGCGTAGCCAGCCTCTTCAGGGGGTGATTTCTCACTTTCCCCCTCTCTGTCTCTTTCCAATGAGTGCATGAGCTCTATAGCAAAAAGATGAAAAAAAAAGAAAGGATGAGGAACCCTGCCCCCCTCCCCCCCATAACTCCTCCCGAGAGGAATGGCACCCATATGCCTCAACACTGGGCACAGCTGTTGGTGCCCTTCCAGTGCACGCAGACCCTGAGACCAGCCAGTCCCAAAGCACGTTCATGGCCATCATCAGCCAGCCTTCGGCCTCCATGGGCACCACGACCTGCTGGATGTACCTCTGGTGAATGTTACCTCTCCCTGTCAACACTAGGACTCCTTCAACAGACAGGCCAGGCCTGGGCTGGGGATAGAGGTGCAGAGATAGCTGGGACCCTGAGACTACCTCTCGGTTCTACCGGTACTACCCACAAATCATGGCATGGAGGTGACTGCAGTGTCGGAGGAGGTGCAGACCTCTGGGGGACATAATTCAGTCTTAACTCAGGGCAGGGGCAGAAAAGTGTTTTTTTTTTTTTTTTAAGAATTATTTTATTAAACTTTATTTATTTATTTTTAAGTTGACTAGAGAGGGAGGGAGAGAGACAGAGAGAGAAAGTGAGAAAGCAAGCTGCTAGGTCCAGGACTCGAACTGTGGTCGGTCATGTGTGAGTCCAGTGCCCTTAACCACCATGCCACCTGCCGACCCCAGAAAGTGTTCTTAAAGGAGGTGATGCAGGAGTAGGAGCAGAGCTGGTTAAAGGGAGGGTGTTTCACACATCAGGCACAGCATGAGGGTCCAGGACCGTGACCTGTAGGGACTGAGCCCAGTTCATTGCGGTTTCAAAGCAGAGCAGGGTACACTGTTTTGTGTCACTGCCTTAACTGCTTTCAGAGTCCTGTGTCCCATACCCATCAGAACCTCAACAGGCCAAGTACCTGCAGGACTGCAGGCCTGCCCACCTGGGGTCCCATGGCCCACTCTCCTGTTCTCGGC